CCTTCCTCTTCTACTGTGGCAAAAGCGCTGCAAGCAGCTTCCTGTACTCGTTTATTACCGTCTAGGACTCGAACAAGAAGCTGAAAATCCACCTTCACGAGCTTATTCACAAAACAAATGTAGAAGCTCTCACCCCTTTCAGTGTAGGTTCAAAGTACTGTTCTCGAGCCTCTTCCACGACCCAGGAGCAATACCGTGAGAGAGTCCAGCACGTGATGGAACTGCAAGCAATTTATGGTAAATTAATCAGAATCTTCAGCGGGACTAACTTACCGCACAAGCGGTTTCTTATCATTCAGCATGTTCAATAGAAAAGGAATAAGCTCATGCAAATGGGGAGTAATGCCATTCATACAACCTTCTGCTACTGCTCCAAGAGCTAGGATACCAGACTCTTTTACCTGCAAACCAAAGATATTATCTATCACTCAGCAAAAAGCTCCCAGCCGAAAAAACGGTAAATTTCTTACTTCCCATTCCGGATGACAAAGCGCTTCCTTCAGTATTGGTAACAGAATTGGAAGGAGTTCCTGCTTGAATATCGATGCAAGAACGTCCAATGATGCAGCAGAACAGCGTCCTGGAACAATTTTTATTACAATTTTACAATCTAAATGAATAAGAAACATACGTATGTTCCATTCAGCGTAGGTTTCATCGCTGCCATCATCATCAGGATCCTGGAAGTGCATCGAAACTTCGTTATACAATCATCTGATTTTATATAATCATTTGATTTTATATGAAGAAAACAGCTTTTACAGGCTTAATGTCAATAAGAAGACGAATCTGTTACAGCAAACCCTAGAGGATGATCATATACTAAAGAGGAAACCTGAAAATACCTATTCTACTAGGTGAAAAACTAAGCAGCATAAGAAAATTTTTGTAGAAATCGTAAAGAGAGGGCGCAGGGGACTTGTCAGAGAAGTATCCAAGTTGAATGGAATATACCAAAAAAAAAAGAGAAAAAGATTTATCTCAGAGTTCACAAACTCACTTCACCATTGACCAAACCTGCAGCAACTTTTGATTTGTGAAATCGAGGTTTTATATCTTCATCCCTATCCGGTATCATAGCATCTTCTTCGTCGCAGTTACCCTAAACAATTCATTTGATTGCGTAATCGCAAATCTGCAAACACTGTTGTAAAGTGTGTAAACCTTCAGCGCAATTATATCGCTTTCCGAGTATCGCATGCATTTGATCAAAACAGGAACCAGTTTCGGCAAGAATGGTGACAGTAATTCTTTGCATACGTCTGAGTTTTCGGCCAGTGATAACCAAAACTCGCATGCCTCTACAGCGATATTCTCATTGGGATCCTGAGATACAGATTTCAGATTTGGGCAAAAAAACCTTAAGCCGGTAAAAAATTGACAATGAGAATCTGAACCCACCTGTGTCTTCATGATGATGTAATCGATGACATTTGGAAGATGTGGAGCCAATTTGTCGAAATGACTATCAAGTAACAACGTCAGCGACCGACACAATTGCTTTTGAACTTCCTAAAGCTTTTCATTAAAGCTAAAGACTAGAGCCAAGAAAAAAACCACACATACCGGGTCTTGGTCATGCGCTCGGCCGAATAGCTGTTGCAAAAAATCGTCGATGACAGCGCTAATTGGATCATTATTTATCATCAGAATACTATTAACGGAGTTCATCGATAAGCCTCTGAAAACAAAGTAGTTGAGCTTTGAGAAAAAAA